TATTTGTATTACCTCAGGTGGGAAAGAATTTCTTAAGCATGAGTTCAAAAGAAATGCAGACTATCAGTGAAAAACTAATAGTTTTGACCTAATTTGATCATTCCACAATGTGTACGTGTATCCAGACATCACGTGGTACCCCATAGATACAGTAGGCCCCCCTTCTCCACTATCTCATTTTCTCTAATTTCAGTTACCTGTGGTCAGCTACAGCATGAAAATATTAAGACACTTTGAAAAGGATAGAGAGATGGAGACAGAGAGAATGAGTATTCACATAACTTTTATTACAGTATATTATCATAACTGTTCTATTTTGTTATTATTGTTGTTAATCTCTTACTATGCCTAATTTATAAATTAAACTTTATCAAAGCTATGTATATATAAGAAAAGCATAGTATATATAGGATGCTGTACTATCCATGGTTTCAGGTATCTACTGGGAATCTGGGAACGTTTCCCTCGGGGACAAAGGAGGACTGCTATATATACAATTATTATTCATTAACTAAAAATGAAATAAAAATATATAGACTGTCAAAAGACATCACAGACAAACTGGAAGACAAAATACTGCCCAGGAGAGGATATTTGCGAACAGGTAATAGTCAAGAGATTAATATCCAATAAATGAGTTAAGACAAATTAGTTTTTAGGAAAATAGGTAAAGCAAATGATGGAGTGAGTCACAAAACAAAGATGGTCAATAACCATAGTAAGAGGTGCTCCCTTGTTAATAATTATAGACATGCAAAAATGCAAGCCCAATTGATACCACTGTTCACTCATAAGATCGCCGAAACCTCACATGTCAAACAATGCGACGTCTAAGCGAGAATGTAAGAACACGGGAATTCTCAACTATTGCACTTGGGAGGGTAAATCAGCACAATTTACCTATACAGCAGGAATCCACAGTGCTTTCTCAAAGGTCCAGACAGTAAACATTTTAGATGTTGAGGGTCATGAGGCAACACTGATATTATGCGGGTACTTGTATAACCATTAAATTATAGAAACCCTTTTCAGCTCACAGGTTGTATCATGCAGGTGGCGGGCTGGATTTGGTATCTGGGCTTGCAGGCCCCTGGTATAGAGCAATTTGGGCAGTACGTAAGACCTAAGCATTCTACTTTTGGACATATATCTTAGAGAAATGCACATAAGTGGGCACAATACATACATGTATTGCAGCATTATAAAAGCACAACCTTGGAAAACAGCCTAAATATCCATCAGAAAGGGAACTGATAAACAAATATGGCATATTCGGAGTCTGTGAAGTACTATACGGCTCTCTATAATGACGACCAAATTAGCTTCATGTGTAGTAAGATAAAAAGATCTCAGAAAAAAATATCTGGTGAAAAACTTAACTGCAGAATATATGTTGACTTTGATACCACTTATTCTAAAAATTGCTGCTACAAATAATCGATAAGGAGGGAAACACATGATCATATATAACTTGGCCCCAGCATGGGCTTACAGGGAGATAAATACGTATTACCAGACCACTCCCCCAGGGATGGCCATCAGTTGACTGGAACAGTGCTTTGCAAACTAAGAAAACTTACTGTAAATCTTCACAATTTTGGGTATAAAATGTTTTTAGATGTTAAGCTCAAGTTTAAAATACTATAGGTATACATATATATACACACACATATATACGCACACATATATACATATATACACATATCATATGTATATATGTGTGCGTATATATGTGCGTGTGTGTGTGTGTGTGTGTGTGTGTGTGTATATATATTTTTTGAGACGGAGTTTCACTCTTGTTGCCCAGGTTGGGGCGCAATAGCATGATCTCAGCTCACTGCAACCCCCACCTCCCAGGTTCAAGTGATTCTGCTGCCTCAGTCTCCTGAGTAGCTGGGATTACAGGTGCCCACCACCATACCTGGCTAATGTTTTGTATTTTTAGTAGAGATAGGGTTTCACCATGTCGGCCAGGCTGATCTTTAACTCCTGACCTCAGGCGATCCACCTACCTCAGCCTCCCAAAGTGCTGGGATTACAGGAGTGAGCCACCGTGCTGGCCCTAAATACTGTATTTTGAATGGATGCATATATGTGCGGGAAACCTGTGCATTCCACTGATTTTAAGGTGCACATTTTCTTTCACCTTTTAAAAACTCTGAAGTAGGGATGCACCTTATCCTCTATGTGTATAGTTTGTTTTTCTCTTTAGTGTTACACAAACTGAGTCTTCTTATGAATGCCAGAATGTTACATTTAGTGAAATATGTTTCAAAAATTGGAAAATGAATTAATATTAAAATTATCATAGTCATTGCCTGGGAGAAGAGGTATAGGGAAGGAGAGAAAGAAGGAAAGAGTGGAAATTAATTCAGGAAGCGGCATCAATGATACCCTAATAAATGGTACTTTACTTGTATAAATTAAAAATATCTGAACATAATATAAATTTAACATTTATTAATATGTGGCTTTACACGCACAAACCGTCTTATTTACACTAAAGGGGCTCAGTTTTGGAGCTCTGAAACATCCTCAGAAATACAGGGTTAACTCGCAGATACATGACAACCTTGGAAACTGGGTGTACTGTGAATGATTATCCTCACTTTCCCATACAAACAACAGAGAGGTCAGGGAAGTTATCTGATTCTTCAGAAATCAGATATCGAGTGACCAGCAGAGCTAGAACCTGAATCTGGATTTTTGGACTCCAATTTCATAGTCTTGTACAACACCACATTTACCGAACTGTTCTCGTTAACATGTAGATGTCTGAATTCTCAATTGCCTTATAGACTTTTAAAAAAGTGTGAATAAAAGAACAAATTATTTCAATTTTCAGTTTTAACTTACAACTGTTTTTTGAAAATTGCAATTAAAAAAGTTAGAAGGATGTTTTGGGTAGACACTTAAATCAGTAAACGGAAAGAGTGGAATTAGAGATTGGTTTTCATCTTGTGCTCTGTGGATTCCTAAAGCCTCAGGTGAACCCCAGGAGTCCTTGGATGAACTTTAAGTGTTTTATAACCAATGCCATATTTTAGCCCATAAAGAAGATTTAAATTACCCGAGAAGGCTATATACCAGTTTTAATATTTTATTTTATCATATCAGTTACCCCAGTAGAATTTTCACTTGAAAAAATATTACTTTACTAAATAATTTAATAGGCTAGTTTTTTTCTTCCAGCTTTCATATTTTGTGCCTCTGATTTAAGAATCAAACGAATATCTGAGTGTGAAACATTTTCAGTGAGGAAAGTAAATGATTATGTTGCTTTATTAGGAAAACAATTAGGTTGATTACTATAAAATAACTAGATTGATATTCCCTGACATAGATGATTTCAATCAAATCTATCCTGCATTTAAGCCACAATCAACAGTCTGAGTAATTTCATAGTTTTAGAGTAATTTAAACACATAGTGCGCTTAATAAACTTAGTTGAATGCGTGAACGATGAGTAAATGAATGGATGAATGAATAAATGGCACAGGCTTAAAAGTCCTGGAAGGGAAGATGCAAAGACCTCAGGGCTAAGTGTTGTGCAAACACCAGCACAGCCAGATTCGGCTCTGCAAGCCAGGCTTCCATTCCTGCTGCACAATGTTCCTGTCTTTTGTGAATGTTTTAAAAGTCAGCTCCATGTATAAAAAGGCCAAAACTATGTCTATGTAGTTCTACTGTTTGAGTCCGTGACTTCACATCACGTAACAATGCATTCTCATAAACTTTGCAGTGGACATGTCTTAGTTTGGAAAGCCTCTGTCTGTCTATAGCAAACACAACTTCTAGGTTATATCTTGTTTATCAAGGACTTATTTCATTTATGGATATTTAGAATTAAAACTGACCTTAGAGATTATATGTACTTTGTTTTATGGGAGTGATTCTTTGGCAGCAGTTTGACTTGACAATGACATTTTTCAGACAACTTTAAACTTCATTATCCAGGGAAGCAGTAATAAGTAGCTGCAAGACTCAGGGCCAAATCTAGATCAGACAGACCTGGGAACACTCTGGTCTTATTTACTTTCTATGTGACATTGGATAAATCACTAAACTCTTCCGAGCCTCAGTTTTATCATCTGTTAACTGGGAATACTATCTAATTGGGTGTTCCAAAGATTAGCAATAATGCGGTAAGATATTTTGTAACTGTAAGACATATTGCCAAAAACAATAGTAGTAGTTGTTTTTATTTCTTGTGTTCCTGATAAAGGGAAACATTTGAGCCCTCAACTTGGAACTTCTAATGTAATATTACAACTTAGGTTTGCTTCTTAAATATGAACAAATTTATTACATAGAGATGTGCATTTGGTATTACATTCCTTCGTAAGTCATAGGCTGCATTTCGTAACATTTTTTCTTTGTTTTTAATGGAAGTACACTGAAGAGAAAAATCTGCTTGTGTGACAGAAGTCGGTTCTTACTGGACTTTGGTATTCCACTTTCCTGTGCTTTTACAATATTTGCAGCGATGTGTTTTATTTTTTTCCATGTGTTTTTTTCCAGTCGCACATAGCACAAAAACACTGTGCTGATTTCTAATTAACTGACTGCACCCCTGAGGTCTACAGCTTCTGTCTTCAGTTTAATTACAGCTGTGAAGAGGATGCAGTGAAATTGAAGACAGTGTCTCTACATGAGAAAAAATAATAATAATGGAATTCCGGTTTGATCCTGAGATCATCTAGGTGTGAATGCTTGGGGATACTTAAATTGGTATGTAAATGTGAGATTTTCATTTTGTTCTATCTTGTTTTCCCTCTTGCAAACACTGGTACCTGATGGAGAAAATTTCTAACTTAACAAATCAAGCAGTTCTTTGATGTGTAGAAACTTAGAATGGAAGGAGGGATCTCATCCAACCAGACTAGTCTGCATTAGTCCTTTGGCTCCCATTTTGAAATTGACCCAATAGGTCAAATATCTGTTGATGCTCGTCCCATTATAAAATCCAAGATATAATTGAAAAGAAATGCTAAACTCACCAGAGTGGCAAAAAGGTGATAGAGAATGAAATAGATGGCAACTACAGGTGCCCACATATGTCCCACAGCATTTAGAGTTTGGTCCATTACGTCCACCCATCCTTCCTGGGTGAGGATCTGGAACATGGACATAAATGCCTAAGAGGAAAAGAACAAAGGTATTACACACTAGCTTTAGGCTTGCATACAACTTCAAATTAGCATGTGATGTTTGAAGACTTTGATCTCAATATTATTGATTTTTATCTGATTGATCAGGGCAAGAACAGTCTTGATTCAACACATAGGAAAGATATGAGACTAAAGATCTTAAAAATGTGATATTTAACTATTAGATGTAGAATAAGAAAACAATTACCCTGAATTAAAATTAGTTTTGTTGGCAGTAAATACTGTTGAGCAAATTAGAAACAAATTCAAGATCTTTGATTTTTGCCATTAATTTTTTTCCTTTCAGCAAGCTATCTAACATTTTCAACAGATTACTTTTTTTTGTTCCTGCTGCTAAGAGAAACTTATTTTTATAGTGAATTACATTTGTCTAAAGCATATAAAAGAGCAATACCCTTAATTTTATTTTTATAGTACCCATCTATCATATTATTTTAGCTATCATATTAAAAACATGTGACTCTTTAAAAAATAAATATTTCTAAGTGATATTGCCACATTGAACAGCTTAAAGAGAAACACATTTTTCATGATTTTAAAAAAGTTTCAAGGCACAGGGGCAAGATCACTGAAGAAACCAAGACCCCCACCCCCCACAAAAAAAAAAGAAAAAAAAAATAGAGCATTCCAACAAAAGCCAGCCAAGCTAAAAGTCTCATAGTCTTTCTGCCAAGATCTTTGACTAGTTTCATTCTTACATATTTTTCTAATTAAATATATGTGTATCCATGAATCGCCAACTCATGTATCCTATACACGTTAGTAGTCAATAAATACTTTTTAATGAGACTATGATGATATCTGGAACAAGTTGCCCATTGGAGTCTAATGACTCTTTAAAAACATCTTTATAGGCTTAAGTACAATAAAGACATAAATTGAATTCTCGGATATTGGGATTCCAATAAATAAAGTCCAGGATAATGCAAAGATGGACTGAGACCAAGACAGACACCCGGTTACACTAGACTAGAGGACCTAAAGACAGACCTAATCTGGTAAAGATGATCTAATCTGATTCTTTTTTTTTTTTTTTTTTTTGAAGATAAGGAAAAGGATGCTCACAGATGCCAAGTGATTATCCCAAAGTCACTCTATTAGTTTCTGGCACAAATAGAAGTAGCACCAAGCATTAGGACTCCAAAGTGAGTACTTTTCCAAAAAGTGCATCCTGCATTCAGTGAAGTCTACCCAGGATCTACGCAGGCATAGTTACATAGTAATCTGAGTATAATTTTCACACTTGATCTTAGCCAAAAGGCTGAGAAGTGACCTAAGTGCAATTTCCTTCAGTAAGGGTAATAAACTTCCTTAGAAGTACACTGTTCAAGGCCCAGAACACAGTGGACCTATTTGAAAAAGGAGCAATTAATTGTTAAATGAACCACGAACTAGAAGATAACTTCTTCCACTTACTCTTTGTGTGCAAAGTAATTATCTTTACCTTGAGTTGATTTTTCTGTAATCTCATTATCTTACAAAGTGTTTTGTTCCTGAAAGTATGAAGTATGTTGTTATTGATTCTTGACCCCAGCACCACCAAGGGCAATATACTATTTTTCTTGCCATGGTGCCGAAGAGACGGCCACTCTCTGCAAAAAGTATTCCTTCTAAAATTGCTTTTGAGAATTTTTCAACACATCACTTATCCTTATTTCAGAAGTTATCACTGAGGGCAATTATTTTTTTCCTGTATTTTTTTTTCTCTTGAATATTTATTGTATCCAAAGGTGAGGAACACAAATTCCAAAGATGATTTCCTTAAAAATATGAGATTGCTGTATTTTTTTAAATGAAGGTGTCAGTGTGAAAACATGTACATATCCTAAAGATTCAACAGCAATAGGTGAAGAGTCAAAATGCCTGCCAGTATAAAAGAAATTTCACTGGACATGGCTTTCTTTCCCCAAAAGCAGTAGAACAGCTCATGATGAAGCCCAACAGATTTATTTTGGTATCTGGAAACTTAAAACGTAGGTGCACCTTTCAGCTGTCTTGGGCATGAACCAGCTGATGTTTTTTTCATCTGCTGCATTACATTCGATCAACACAGCTATCATGTGGTCAGTAGATGCTCGGGAACGTGGAGCTATGGGATTGTAATCTGTTGTTGTGAGATAAGCGATGTGGGCAAGAACGCTGGGGTTATCCTCTTTTCATTTCAGAGTCTCAGGAGAAAAAAAATCTAATTTCCACACAGCTCAACCACCCGAAAGCTCATATTGTGAGATGCACTAAATTATATTTGCGAACAAAGCTTTTTGTGACAGTGGGATCTGTGTGTTTCTAGCTGCTGAAATGAATAAACCAATGAAAGGTAGTGCCAACAAATACTTCTATTAGAGGCTGAAAATTAACTTGTGTCCTGCTTGAAGGGTGCCTTAACAGTTTTGTTGAGATTTTTATCCAGAAATTTAAATTCAAATGATAGCGTGCTTGAGATAGTGACTCAAGTGCAGTTACTGACTTACATTGTCTGTAGGGTCTGTGCTCTTTATTTATTCAAACAAGGATTATTAGTGGCTCCTAAAGGTCTGATGCATTGGGGATTGAGTGGAGTAAGACATGGTTTCTTCCCTTCCTTAAGAACTGTATAATCGAGAGGGGAAGAAAAAGATGAACAGGATCAATTCTCAAAAAGGAAGAATATTGGCCGGGCGTGGTGGCTCATGCCTATAATCCCAGCACTTTGGGAGGCCAAGGTGGGCAGATCACTTGAGGTCAGGAGTTCCAGACCAGCTGGCCAACATGGTGAAATCCCGTCTCTACTAAAAATACAAAAATTAGTTAGGTGTGGTGATGGGCACCTGTAATCCCAGCTACTCGGGAGGCTGAGGCAGAAGAATTGCTTGAACCTAGGAGGCGGAGGTTTCAGTGAACTGAGATTGTGCCACTGCACTCCAGCCTGGGCAACAGAGCAAGACCCCATCTCAAAACAAAAAAGAAAATAAAAAGAAAGGGAAGAATATTAACTATGGTGTGTAAGCAAAGTATGGTAAAACTACTGAGGGGCAACAGAGAAGAGCCAATTTAGTCCTCTTGGGTGAATCAAGAAAAGTTTTGGGAAAATGAGAGCAACTGACCTCAGTATAATGCAGAGGAGTAGAGTTTCAGTGGAAAGAAGGCAGGGAGGAAGGTGCTTCTCTGAACTACCTATTAGCATGTTATTCCATTTTTCTGCCCTGTTGACCATTTTATTTTCTTTACTGGTTTCCACCAACTCTTTACAAATTAAGAAAACTCATCTTTTATCTGCCATGTATGTTCAATGCATTTTCCCCTATATATTTCTTACATTTTTGCAAAGATCAGTTTTACATTTCAGTGTGGTCTAATTTGTCATTCCTTTTAAGTGTTTTTATTTTGCTTAAAAAGACTTTTCTCACTGCATGATTAGACAGAAATTTACTCGCGGTTTTATGCAGTAGTTTTACACTTTCCTTGTTTTATTATTTTAAACATGTTGAACCTGAAGTGGCTGTTTAAATCAGTTTAAGTCTGAAATTTATTTTGCTATAAGTAATGAGACAGGAATTTTTTGTTTTCATTTCTGATGGTGTTACGCCTATCCCTAGTTAGGATTTCTTGATTTATCCACTTCAGATATAGACTTCTGCTATGATATGTGAAGATTTCATTCAGCCACAACACTTCTCCCCACTTCCCTTAACCAATCCTAAATTTGTATGTAAATCTCTATTTCTTTTTCCATCAAACTAGAAAGACTTGACCCCTTCCAGTGTGAGATGAAGTTATTACCACTGCCACCTGTCAGGTCACCTTTTCTCTCTGCTTTCATTTTCCATCTTGTGTCGTGTATACATTTACATCCTCAAGTTTCACTATATATATATATAGATAGATATAGATAGATAGATAGATAGATAGATAGATAGATATAGATAGATAGATAGATAGATAGATAGATAGATAGATATAGATAGATAGATAGATAGATAGATAGATAGATAGATAGATATTTTTTGAGACGGAGTCTCGCTCTGTCGCCCAGGCTGGAGTGCAGTGGCACAATCTCCGTTCACTGCAAGCTCCGTCTCCCGGGTTCCTGCCACTCTCCTGCCTCAGCTTCCTGAGTAGCTGGGACTAGAGGCGCCCGCCACCACATCCAGCTAAATTTTTGTATTTTTAGTAGAGACGGGGTTTCACCATGTTAGCCAGGATGGTCTCGATCTTCTGACCTCGTGATCCGCCCACCTCGGCCTCCCAAAGTGCTGGGATTACAGGTGTGAGCCACTGCGCCTGGCCAGACAATATTTACATTTGTTTTTTTCTATCGTAATTGGGTCATCTGTGCTTCTCAGCAAGTTGACAATCAATATGTTGATAGTCAATGTTTCCTATGAAAATATTGCTCACTGTTGGTCGAGGTAATGTTCTAAAATTATACTTTCCCCTCCAAGACTCTGATATAATGACATGTAAGGTATTAGACAGTAAATGGTCAAGGTTAAATGGAACCTTTCTTACTTTCCATTAATTGCTCAGAATCTGGGCCAATTTAACTCACACTATTTGAGCCATTGTTAATGCAATTTTTGGTTTGGTTTTGTTTTTGCTGAGCTTTTCTGTTTCTCACATGTCCTATTGGGAAAATAAATATATTCTTTCTTTCTTCTACCTCAAGTAGCTTCCATATTCTCACGCATTACACTTATCATTCAGAATAAACCCTTCTTACTATTCTACATATGTTCTTCTTTAAACCATCAATTGCCCAGAAACCATTTGATTCTTACTCTCATAGATAGTGTTCTTGAGGTCCTCTCACTACCTGTTCTAATTTGAACTAATTTTTTTCTAGACTGGTTCCACAGTTGCCATAATTTCCACTTTTAACACTTTTATCTAGATCTTTTGTTCTTTCTAATACACCGGCAGAGAATTATTCCAAATATCTCATCCCACTCATTAGCGTCCTTTTTCAATTTATCAACCAGGTTTTCTTC